ACATTTAGAAAATAACTACGAATTTTCAATATTTATATAACAGATCGCGTGAATATCACGATTTAACACAATATAATTTTTACGATTGATTCGTCAGTGAATAATTAGCGGATGATTTTGCTACGTTTATATGACATAATGCGTATTTTCAATGTATTTGCATAACTGCGATTGCAATGAATTTTCCGCGTGATAGCTAGATAACAGAAAGAGAGAGAGAGAGAGAAAGAGACAGAGAAAGAAAAAGAGTGAGGCTATCGAGATGAATCATTCATCTCCCGTTCTGCAACTGCCTCCTTGAGTATGTGATGGTATTCTGGAGGTGCGCGCGTTGTGACTCATCGATCTGACAACTCGTGTGATCACCTGCGCGCAGGTTGAAATTCTTATAGTTGACCTACGTTCACGAAAAAAATTCTTAAGAATCGTGAGGGGGAAAAAGAGAGAGAACGTATACTTTGTGAAATCGTGATGATTAAAAGGCTTAAAAATATTTCAATATAAATAAATTTAATATAAATAAAAGTGATTTATAGCTATTTCTAATCTTACTTTATAAAGATAATGATAATATTAATAATATCACTTAAAAGTCGGTAATCACTAAGCGATATGTCCAAGCTTTCTGAAATATGATATTTAATATGGTATTTAATGAGATATCTATTTAAGTACAAATGATTCTTCCAAATGCAAATATTCGAGATTAATGCGTAATGCGTTATCGCCAAGAACGGCAATTAGGGTAATCAAGTTGCTCGAAGTGGCGAAGTGATTAACGAAAAATGTAAAATCTAATGACTCACTAGATCTTTCTTGCCCGCGTCTCGCATACGCTCGCAATTTCTGCACGCTAACGAGCTTTGCGCGAAGATGATCATCTTTTTCCACGGAAGAGCCGCCGCGTTCGCCGTAAATAGCGACACGAATGAAAATATTATTCGCTTTCTCATGCTCGCGCGTCTGCCTTATCGCTGCAAAGAAAACCACGTGTGTAAGTACCCTCTGATAAGGAGTCGTGAATCATCGCAAGCCTTGCGATGAGATAGAGTTACGCGTGCGACCGGTTATGAGACTCGTTTTGTATCATTATGTCGTTGCTCAATTGTACGCGACTCGATTAGGTATCACTTATGAAATTGTACTTAAAAATATACGAAAACTATACCTTGAAAGCAAGGTAAAATATAAAGTATATAAAATATAGAAATATCGAAATAATTTATTTATATAAATAATAATAAATACATTTATAACATCATTAATACAAAATATAATTAATGATATTATTAATTATGTATATAAATCGCAACGAAATTTTCATTGCCAAAAATTTTGGTTACATTGCTCAAATGATATATTATTTCGCGAAGCGGTGTTCACAGCATTTGAGTTTAGTTGCAAGACGCGTTGCACTGGTCAATTGAAGTGTATCTCGATTTAGACGCAACGCATCTAGAGGAGCACCAGCTAGAAAGTTGATGTGGTTTTAAGTCTGCACAACAGACACGTGCGTTGGTTGAATTAGGTTTTTGTAAGAGTTCCTGCCGAGCGTGTTCGAAACTAATTTATCGTTCGGATTTTACGCAGTTACTCTTTTTTCTTCAAATCCATCCATTTTTATTCATATTAATTTTTCATTTGTTTCTACATGGATTATTTATACTCTTTGTTAATCACTTATTGCGCATGCCATTTATTCCTGTGTTGTGTATAATATATTATTAGCGGGACGCGGAGAACAGAAACACAGCTGTGGTTTTCATTTGCGAAAGCAGGGAGAAAGCATATACTTTTACGACCATAAGAGCATACATGTCTACCGGTGCGATGCATCGGAGATAATTATCCGACCGAGAATGAAAATTCTCGGGGCAGTAAACGCCCCATGCGCGGCGGTGATAAAAGGAAAACCACATCCTTGAATCTCTACAGTTATGTCCGGCATCCTAATAGAACAGGCCTGCTTGCTTGCCTGTAAGAACTTTAGATCGGCGAGAGGAGAGGTTCGATGTACTGAACGCTATGCGAAACATTCGAACCAATCGAAGCTAAAAAGCTACACTCTGATTATCTCTCTCTTTTTCTCTTTTTTAGATTCTTTAATTTTCCACTCGCTCTTCTCTCGCGGATATTTAAATTGCTATTTGATTCTATACATAGATATAGATCATTAAATCAATTCAGATAGTCGAGATGTTTTGCCTACAGTTGGTCCTGGCTAATTTAAAAAATAAATTTAATTTCTTTTATTGTTACATTAACATTTGATATAAATAATATTCTTGATGCAGAAAAATAATTCTTAAGGAATAATTAACTTATTTTTCAAATGTTTATAATTAATTTAATAATTTATTTAATATTTCATTCAAATTATCACAATTAAATAAATTATTATAAAATTATTTAAATTTCGAAAATTTTTAAATAAATTATTTTTTATTTATTCGACAATGAAAATGATTAATGAAAATGATTATAAAGTAACTTTGTAAAATCATTTTTAATTTAAAAATACATACAGTTAGTCTTCAATCTTCAAGTTTCACAAAGATATTGGCGTATAGATATTTATTGATCGATGATATAAATACGAGAGATCAAAAACGGAGTACTCAATATTTCCGGAAGTGACGAATGTTCGAATTCCACTTCATAGATGAGTCGATTCTATTTCTGAAAGAGCTAATTTTGCTTTCGTTCGCTTAAGCTAAGGTATATCTTCGTTACGATTTTATCAGTATTGGAAACTGCTTTTTAGTAGACAACATCGGTTGAGTAACCGGCAATTTATGACTTCCCAGAGATCATGCTTTGACAAGAATCGTCGCATCCTTGACTCGCAAAAGTGAATCACTAGACCGAGTCGTGGTGATCGTATCACATTTGTTATTCGTCTTCCTCGAGTTCCCAAGTTCAAGGCTCCAACTTGTCTGAATTGCCAATTGTTATTGAATAGCATACAAGTCTTAATACAAGTTTCTATGAATATTTATACAAATGATAAAAAAATAACGTATCTTAAAAATAAAAATTTATTTTTTCTACTGTTATTTATTATAAAACGCAAAATGTATCACAAGTTTTACAAAAAAACAATATTTTCATCTTTTAATTAACTATCATCGTTAATATCTAATTAATAGCGCGAAATTAATTTGAATTAAAGATAAATGAATATTCTGTATGATAAATTTAACACATGTAAATTGATGTATTTATCACATATTTTAAATGCTAATTTTTTTATCCAACTTAAGAATTATAAGCAAAAGGGAGTACATAATTTTTTTAAGTTATCTTCCATGCAAAACAATTTTAAACAAATAGAAAATGTTATTCAAGAAAATTCCACAAAAAGTTGCGAAAGATTTTTGAATTGACAATAAAACGCAAAATTAACATTACGGCAACAGTTACATCATCGATGATACATCTTGCACTGACGACCCTGCTTTTATCTGTTCAATTCAGCGGCATGTAGTAGTACGATTGCAATTACATCATCAGTCGAATGAATGGACCCAACTCGTAATTCCGGCTAAGAGGAAACAGCGCCGAGAATTATTTACATGGCTTTATATGGCGAGAGATTACATGCCGCTATCGATTCAAGATGAATATCGATTACGTCGACGACGACGTAAACATATGCAAGAATAACCGAATGATAATTAGTCCGTGCGATTCCAGGTATTCGACAACAACGAAGGCATGATTAACGAAGTGCCGTGTAGTGATGCCATATCAGGAATTGTACAAGAGTCGCGTTTAAAATCTCAATACAAATTATGTCTTGATATAAACTATGACTTAAAATTTGTATAAGAAAGAGATACAAAAAAAATTAATGAAAATATGTATATCAGATCTACAAAACAAGTAAGAGTAGAAATCACTGAAACTTATATTTGTATTTTTAATATTTTTAAATCAGATTGTAAAAAAAACAGACTGTAAAAAAAATATAAATCATTAGAAAAAATAATGACATAGGAAAAGATTAACAATGAGTTAAAAAATATTACTTCATTAATTAGAAAATTTTTTTAAAAACTTCTTTTCTTTAGAAAATGAATATTATAAGTCTCACTTCCGGACTCTTTATCGAGTTTGAGAAGTGTTTGAAAGACTTCAGCGAAATCGCTGTACATTTGCCCGTATTTACACACTGAATACCTATCTCGAGAATGTCGTCATTCTATTCTCTTCCTCGGTCACAAGCATGATGAATCATTGCGCACGTATGATTCGCGGAAGGCAGTGCTTATTACATGCACCGCTATTGCGAGGATCCCCTCCATTAAACGTCGTGTTCAAGCAAATTCATGGTCTATCTAAAATGCAAATCTTACAATTGATAAATTGATTGCAACAGTGATCCAAGAGTAATAGTTACGTCATTGGCTAACGAAAAAAAGAAGTTACTCATCCAAATAATTCAAAATAAATAAAAGAAAAATTTATTATTAACTTTACATTCTCTTTTTTCTCTCTTTCTCTCTTTTTTTACCTGTATGTATAAGTATAATAATGTTAACATAACAGAAAATTATTAAAGACATTATAAATATATGTTTATATTGACATAAATATTTTCTCAAACTCCTAAAAAACCAAGCTTGTATGCAAATTTTTCTTTTTAATTTCATAGCCCTGTTCTTATCAATTTTCTCTATAATTTTTTCTGTAAGCAATTAAAGATGTAAAAGGTGTCTCTTGTTCGAATTTGTTGTTCGATGCGATTCTTACTTCGAGTGACACCTTGCCTTTCCTTTGCGACTACTTCAATCCCTACTCTTCTTCTTCTCCTTCTTCCTTGTACAGCCAGCTGATTCCTTACCATCGTAACGATACGGCGGCGATGTCTTCCTCATTATATCGTAAGGTCGTCAGTAGACGCGTCGACTCCGTTGACAGTAAATGCGTGAATCATCGAGTCGATGATATGATATCAAGAGATCGCGACGGCAAATCGGCAGTACATCCGTGAGTTTCGCGCAGTGAACAACGTTACTTTCAGGAGACCTCTCTCGTGATTTTAGAGGTGTTGACATCTAACAGAATTTTATCATCTTTTCTCTTATTTTTAATGAAGTAATTAAATGCTTAGGAAATAATATAAATGAGAATTATACTAGTAGAGACATGTTAAAATAGTAACAATTGATTAATGTATAAGTGAATAATGTTTAAATATTATATAAACTCGTTTGTAAGGAAGTACAGGAAAGTGACAGTTACACAGTATGATTTATCAAGATTGACTCGACAATTAATTTTAATGTCAACAGTATCTGTAATCACGGTAGAATTAAAAAACGATAGAGTTATTTCGATAGACTTTACAAACGTGACCTCGCGTGTCGCGATAATCGCATGAAAATGTGCATTTTATCGTTGTCGATCTAAAAGAAAAAAACAAACAGAAATTCGCGAGACAGAGAGGAAAATGTATTTTCAATGCGTTTACAAGTATTCTCATGCACGCGAGTCGTCGTTTATAGCACCGGCTGCTACGTGACTTCCTCACGGAAATAAAACGAACATTTCGATTCTCTTCGATTGGAGTCTGTTCGATCCTTGTACTATAAGTCTTTTAAAATTACGTGGTCGAAATTTTACGATATTTATTACAGATAATACATATATTTATATTACAGATAATACATATATTTATAATAAAATCACAAAATTGCGAAAAATAAGATATACTTAATAATAATACTATTGTTTACCTGTTATTTTTAACAATGAATATTAAATGAAATAATGTAATTAGTTGAAAATAATTTATAGAAATTATTATTAATAATTTATAATAATTTATTTTATAATCTATGAAATCAATTTTAGCTTCTATGAAATCAAGAATATTATTTTTTGCTCATATTTTCATTGCATTTGCATTCTCTTTAATTTAGCAATCAATAGAATCGATTATAAAGAATTTAATAATTGCTCTTAAGCTCTTGCTGATAATATACTTTGTAACATAATTTTCTATTTATTTTTCTCCGAAAGAATTTAGAAGTGCGTATTAATTTAGAATAACATATTATTTTTACGTTATTTAGTATAATTTGATAAATTTCATCTCGACATTCGTTGGTACTACTATTACACGGGAATTTGCTCATGGCAATTATAGATTAGTTCTTCGAAGCACTTGAGAAAACGTTTGGTACGCGTGTTTGCAGTTTGCTCGCATTGCGGGAATTCTTTATTCGCGTAAATAAGCCGATGTATTTAAACAGCTGTCGTGACGAATTATTGTTGCGCTAAAACCTAAATATCGAACTGTATAATGATACTCAAAAAAGAAGTGATGGTAACTATAAAGGTGACAACTGTGCAAGTTTTCCACAATACACGGAATTAATGGCATAAATATAAATAAGTGGCATAAATACATTGAATAAATTATTGTATAATTGTAATAACTCTAAAACAGTTTACTCATTTATGTGCATTAATTCTACATATGAAATGACACTTGTATAGTCGTCACCTTTATACAAAGTTTGTATGGTACAAAGTAACTACAAAGTATGTAGTGTTTTTTCTCTAAGTGTATGGAGTTATTTCCAATTCAAAAATTTTTAATTCTGAAAAAACATTTCAATATAAATTATTAATTTCTTATCAGACTATTTTGTTTCTTTTTACATTGTGTTTTTTTATAGCTTATACAGAAATAGATTTCCTTGAATTTATAGAATGTTATTCTTCAGAGATTAGTCACATATTACTTAAACACGGAACTAGTTCACAATAACATTCTTATCGATGGTCTTTTCTCGCGCTTCGATAAAGTCATATCGCTTCAAAAGTTCAATCGAACGCATTCCCGCAATTTTTGGCTTTGGTCCGACAAAGATTCCGAGAAATTACAAATATTCGAGTCGAGCTAAATCGATAACGCGTCTTATAGGACATCTTATCACGTTCTTAAATTATAGTGCAAAGATCATTCTATATGTTGATTTTGTGCCGTGGGAAACTTGCCTGATATCATTTCTTTGCGTCAGTGCCATTCGATATTCATAGAACGCGACAAGATGAAGTGTCAATTAATTATACATTCCATTAAAAATTAAGACAGACTGGAGATACATACACATATACATTTGATATCAATTTTATGTTACATTTGAGATAGATTTATGTAACAGATTTATATTTCAATTTCTTTTTCTAATTTTTCTTATTTTTCTTTATTTCTTGTTTACTTTATTATTGTATAGTTATTCGAATTATTTCATTTTACTTTGCAACTCTTTTTTATTTTAATTTGTGTGCTTTCCTTTATTTTCTTCTATCATAATTTTTAGTTTAATAATAATTAAAAGAGAAAATCAAACGCGATTAAACAAGTCTGAATGTGGATTAGGTATTTAAATATGATAAAATATATAAATATAAATGTACCTATACAAGTAAACTTATTCAGATTTGACACGAGAATAAACATCAACAATCGTGAGCATCTGCGTGAGGACATTGAAGAGTGTGACGTGAACTTTCTCGGGTGTTATATTCCATAGAGAAAGAACTGAGAGTGTTCGTTGTGTATGATTTTATGAATGAGCGTCGATAGAGGATTAAACATGCTACACAAGCATGGAAGCAGATCACATGGCGCCGTGTATAAAGGCAGAGGTGCTTTTCTAAAATCCGTAAGTTGCCAAGCAAGCTTATTGTATCTCGCACTTTTATTATCCGATATATTCATCAGCCGAGATTTTTTCAAGTGAAAGCTGACAAGTTCTACGACATATACATAGAATGAACTGAGCATTGCCAAACACCTGCTATAGAATGAGAGATAATTCATAAGAAATCTATTTTATCTCTTGCTAGCATTTTATTGACGAGTTTGTCTATTACTAGAATTAATTTTTTGCCAACAATTGGAAACTTTAAAGATACCATCGATATTTTAATTGTGAATTTTGATAAATAAATTTAAATCTATAAATATAAATAAAATTTAACCGAATTTGTATGATGAAATAGAAATGGTTAAAGCCTAGCTTTGACAAGTATATCAGAATTTTTTAAAATTTTTATAAAATACAGAACAATGTAAAATTTTTTGTTTCTCGAAGATC